TCTGTTCTTTTATACAGGATTTGTCCAGCAGGAAGATAGCATTTTAAGTTCCCTTTAACTATAAAGCCATTTATCTCTCATGTATATTTCATTTCCACCTTCTCACATGTCACTCACTGAGTGTATTTATTTGCCAACAATGATTTTCTCTCCTTGTCAGTTGCCTCTTCTGAACTTATTTGCTCCCCTAGGTTTGCAGTGGTTCTGGATGTAAGCAAGAGGCACCTTCATGAGCAGACTTTTAGCTGCTTACTGGGCAGGGATGTGGAGTGTCATCACCACAATGTCATGTTCCTTTCTTGCTACACTTGTAGAAGCCTTTCTGCATTGCAGGGCTGCAAGTGCAGGGCTGAGACTCCTCAAGATTTGGGGAGATTGGAGGACTGACAGTTTTCCAGGGTATTGTCCCCTCCTCAGCCAATAGAAATAGTAGCTGATACCCTAATGCTGGTTGAAGCACTGAACTGTTTCATGGATTCTTGCACTGCTACAATCCTCCATGGACTGCAACTAAGCAGTTACAGAGATCCCAGCCCATGCAACATGGCTGTTGCTGGCACCATACTGCCAGTGTGGGGACAGGACCAGCATAGGTACCTGGGAATGGACAGACATCCATGCATACATCTCCTGCTTTCATGGAGTGGGTTCCTTCTCTGCATATCCCACTGCATTAGCAGGCTTAATTCCCTTCAGATTTGTGGCCATTTTGTATCTTTGTCTGATTTTATTTTTTTCTCTTTCCATTTGACTTTTTAGCAAATAACCATTGCCAAAACAACTTGTTGTGCAGAGCAGTTGTGTGTGTTTTGCTATATTTTTGTATCCTTGATTGCTATATATTTGTAAGTGTATAGATTGTAGTCATGGGGGGAAAAATCTGAAACCAATTGCAGCTTGTATTCACAAAACAAGATCTGTGTGGCCCAATAAAGTCATTTTAATAGCAGCACATTTTTCTACTAATGGTGTTATCAATTTTTCATCCTAACAGACAACAGGATTCTGATTTATTAGGAACTGGAGAATCTTTTGGGGAAGGGGAGTCTATTCAGGAAGGGGAGTCTCCACCTAAATTAAGATGAAACCAGATCCCTGGCATGTAAAATTAAAAAAGGTGGTAGAGGAGTTTTTAAATTAAAGGCTGAGGGAAAGTCAACAGATGTGCAGGAGAACATACTACGGAGAGAGACATAATTTAGGGCAGGGAGGGGAAACCTATGGCCAATGGACTCTGCCTACCAGGGGAGGAAGCAGTAGGAATGGAAAAGAAATAATCAAATGGAAGAGTCCCATTCAATAACATCATATGACAGCAAACAACTGAATATTGACAAATTTTGTAATTACTTAACTATGGATGCTAGAAGTTCAAGTTCACTCCTCTTAGTATTTAAAGTGCCTGGTATTAAAATGAGAATATTGATATAATAGGCAGAAATACTATGCTGCTCCTGTTCAGGCAAAAGTCAGTGTAGACAGCTCAGATGTGTTTTCCGCAAAAATGCCCCGATTGCGAAAATGGCGATCAGGGCTTTTTTGCAGAAAAGCACGTCTAGATTGGCACGGATGCTTTTCCACAAAAAGTGCTTTTGCGGAAAAGTGTCTGTGCCAATCTAGATGCTCTTTTCCGAAAATGCTTTTAATGGAAAACTTTTCCGTTAAAAGCATTTCCAGAAAATCATGCCAGTCTAGACGCATCCAGGTGTGTGAGTTACATATGCACACCTTATTCCCATTTGGAGTGGATTGTGGGTGCGCTGACACCAGGGGTACAATTTACCAGATTGTCCTGGACCTCAAACAGTATGGCCCAATGGCTAGAGTCAAAGCAGCATGGCCTAATGGCTAAAGACAATATGGCCATCCACAAGCACTAGGCAGTGTGGCATAACAGCCAGAATCAACAGAGTGGCCTATGAGTGTAAGGCAGTATGGCCTATTAGCCAGATCAAGGAGCCATCACCAAAGTGGTGGTGCCAGGACAGGGGGACCCTGGCCCACCTGACTTCATATGCTCCTGACACAGAGCCCTAACAATGGTGGAGTGGCCTACTCCTGGGTCACGGGGAATCCAACCACAGTATGCTGCCCTTATATATGTGGGAGATACCACTTACTTCACCTTCCTGGATCATTTCCTACCACGCTTCCTGAAGCTACAGTCCATGTGATGTCACGGGGGGCTCCTTGGCTCAGGTGACTCCCTGGGACTCTGATTCCAGCCAGTCGGCTGTAGGCCAGGGGTATAGCCATGGGTGGGCTGCAGCCCAACCACTTAGTATCCACATACATCCCACTCTCACATACATCCCACTCTCCCCACCTCTAATATCATCAATTCACAGACACTTACCTTCCTTCCTCCCCCCCCCCCCCCCCGCATCTCCCTCTTGTTCTGAAATGTGATTTGTCCTTTTCATGTGTGTTCATTTTTTTTAATTGTATCCTTTGGTATATATGGTTGTGACGATTTTCTTCCACTATTTGATCTGAGGAAGTGGGTCTGGCCCACGAAAGCTCATCATCTAATAAACCATCTTGTTAGTCTTTAAAGTGCTACATAGTCCTGCATTTTGCTTCAGCTACCCCAGACTAACACGGCTACATTTCTATCACTTAGTATCCAAGCGCACCCCTCCAGCCCCAGCTCTGCTCCTGCACCAGTGCTTCCCCCACTCTGCCTGCTCAGAACTCCAGCCAGGGAGCAAGGTTGGAGTGGGGGGACTTGCCCTGCTCTGGTACTAAAGCCAGGGAGTTGTGAGCAGTACAGGCAGTCCCCGGGTTACGTACAAGATAGGGACTGTAGGTTTGTTCTTAAGTTGAATTTGTATGTAAGTCGGAACTGGTACATATTGTAGGGGAAACTCTAGCCAAACATTTTTTTTAGTTTTGGATAGCATAGGGAAAGGTTAACTCCCCTCTAATGTTTGTTTTGCTGTCTGTTCCCCTGTTCAGAAGATTTCACATCTATTTCTGTCCCTGTGACAAACTCAGGACTAAAGGAGTAACTCATCAAATACCAAACAGCTCTGCACCATGCTTTGAGCTAATAGCTTTATTTCCACACACCACCCAGGGTTCTAGGAGGAGGGTCCTTTTTTTGCTAACACAATGAGGCCAGCACTTTGTTTGTTTTGGTGGAGTCTTTGTTTGCCCAGGGAGCCCAGCATGTATAGGGGGAGGAGGGGCGGAGAGGCTGCTTTTGTCTGCTGTTCGGCAGCCTGTTGCTCAGGGGAGGGGGCAGCCTGTTGCTGGCAGGGGGGGGGGGGGGCACTTTTCCTCTGCCTGGCAGCTCTGCGGGACCCCAGTCGGAGCCGGCCCGAGGAGGAGGAGGATCCTAGGACCCAGGTGAGCGAGCCCCGGGAATGCTGCTGCGCATGTGCGGGAGTTGCCTCACCCCGTTCGTATCTAGGGATCCGACGTAAGTCGGATCCACGTAAGTCGGGAACTGCCTGTAAAGCTGGGGCTTATTCCTGACCCCACTCCCCAGCAGGTGTGTGGGGCTTAGTGGTTCCTGACCCCACTCCCCAGCAGGTGTGCCATAAGCAGCAGGAAAGCAGGTGGGGTCACAGGGCCACACATTTTTCCAGGAGCTTCTGGCCAGAGTATCTATTGCCCCTCCTCCACAGATGGGGGGAGGGAGTGGCAGCCCCAGTTGCTCCTATGGCTCACCCCCATCATTGTCCATCCCCCCACCCATATGTCCCATCCCTACTGCTGCACCACTGCTGTAGGCAACAAGTCTTCCGTCTGTCTTGTGATCTCTGGCTTCTGTATTGACTCTATAGGCAGGGGCCTCCCCAAGCATCTTTCCTCCTTGGTGGTCAGCCCCAAAGTGAGCTGGGCTGCCTTCCTGCATACGGCCACAGCAGGGTTACCCACCGCACGGGATTAACCCTTCCCTGCCTGGTGCAGGGTCTGCATCCATCACAGGACCCAAGTTATGAAAAGGACACAAACAAAAAGTACAACTAGGCTCTAAAATGACCCTGGAAGTCTTAGTGGTTGCTACAGTCCCGGCTCAGTTCTCCTGGGGCAGCCAATGCCACGCAAACAAGTCCAGAATCCAGGTGCGCGTTACGTACTTGCCTGAAGTTGTATTAGCGACGGCATCTACCGCAGCAGGAGAACCCCGCCCCCCTCGCGTCTCGGCAGGTCAGTGAGAGAAGAATTGAAGTTGGAGGGTTTTGATTCCCCTGCTTGCTTTAAAGCCAGCTCCCCCTCTTATAGTTAGTGGCGGGTCAGGGGCTGCTTGTGGCCTCCGAAGCGGGCGAAGGGAGCAGCACGGGCCGGGCCCGCCCTTTGCACAGCTCCCGCAGAGTCACCCCTTGCAAGGCGGGAGGGACTGAAGCAGCGAGGCTCGCGCGCGGCAGGGTCCCGCTCCG